AGTCCGCCAATATTGGACAGTCATGCCGCATGTTCATTGGTTAAAAACATCCGCCAGATCTCTCCATATAGGGTCTCTCAATTGAGGGTTGTCGTTTTTTTAAACAGTTTTACACTGAATTAGTTTTTTAAACTTTTCGTTAGAAGGTATAGACAGACATGCCTTTATTTTTTAGTATTTTCTGGATGGAAATTTTAGTGTCTTAAATTGACTAAATTCTTATCTTCAGTCATTTATTAAATCAACGTTGATTTAATAAAAATAAAATTAAAAAATAAAAACAGTACGGTACCGTACGTCCTATAGGACGTACGATCGACCGGTACAATATTCCAGCCTTAGTGTAGCTACACTAATGCTGGAATATATTGTACCGGTTTTTCCTTTTTGTAATTACGGAATGTAATGAAAGTTCAAAATTCCTAATTTTTATTTTTAATTTTCGCCAAAACTCAACCTTTTTTTATTTGTTTTCCTTTTCTCCAATGTTAGAAACATGTTTTATACGAAAGGCCTATGCTCGAACGCATTTAAAATGCATTTAACTTTCTGTGATTGCCGAATAGCGAGAGAGTTAGCAGGTCACATCGGGTGCGAATAAACCGTGACAAATCTTTTGTAAACCAACCTTCGATGTAAATTATTCTTTTAAAAAGTATTACTCAGCATCTTTCTGGTAGCTCGTACAATGGTAAATAGGCTTCGAAGCTTAACCACGGCAGTTGGCGTACTATATTCCTTTCTATTTTGTACAAAAACGTGTTGCTTAAAACGCAAACGACATTTGTGACTTGATTGTATGAGCCAACTGGCAGACAAGATCACACATCTCTAAAGCTCCTCTCAGAGATTTTAGTGTTCTGCAAATTAATGTTGTTCTTTTATCTTCCTGTCTGAGTTATAGACTTTATTCGTCGCTTTCTTTTTGTATCCTTGCACCTGCATTTTTTGTATACCTTGCGGCTAATCGTCCGAATCAGTTGGCAAAAATATCGTCCTTGCGGCTGCTCGTCGCTCAGTCATAGCTGTAGCTTTCTTTTAGTCTGTTCTTCGTATGCAAATGAGTGATTAAAGTTTCGTATCTAAGGGTCAATGACAAAAAGAACTCGCGAGTACTAAGTGTTTATTCTGCATCACTTCTTGGATTGGTTTTGTCCGGTTAGCTTGTAATACCGATGTCCAGCTCCGTGACATTGGTGTCGGAACTCTTGATGCATGGTGCCAGAAAGACAGAAAATATACTGCATGGGCTCTCATTATGAAAGCTGCTGGACTAATTATTAATATGCGAAGGTAAAATTATCTCTGGACTAATTATAGTCTGAATCTCGAAACTACTCGAAAACTCAAGCACACACCGTTCGATGGGAAAGAATCTTTCCCAAAAAGCATTAATATATTCATGTTATAATTATAACATGAATATAACATGAATAATTTAAGTTGCGCGTGCACTCTGGACTTCTTAGCAGATCAGTGACAAATAAATAAACCCAATTTTCACCCCTGACTTCGTCTAATTATATTCGTTTTAAAACTTCAAACTACCATCTATCTTTACTTTCAGAGGAGACTGGAATTTTGAAGACCTCCTGCATTAGTTCTTTTCTCTATTGAACGTGTGCTGTGAGCATGAAGGACGAGACTGTAATTGTAAGTCACCCAACGTCCATTACAGCTCTGTTCTAGTTGGACGAAAACTTTGCCGGTTTTCCGCTCTCTAGCTTTTGCATCCCTGAACGTTATGTGCCCCATCTGGAGAGTGTTCTAGTGCCTAATGGAATGATAAAAGACAGGTTATCATTCTTCTCCATTTAAGTTTCTTCTTCAGGATCAAACGGATAGCTGCAGAGATTATCGAGTTTTTTGAGAAGGAAGGCATTACTTCTGTCTCTATGTTCTGTGTTTTGAAAGGTGGATTTAAATATTTTTCGGATCTCATTGATGAAATACAACAAACCATCTGGTCCAGGAAGTGCAATATCTCCCTTCAAATTGAATTTGTTCGTGTGAAAAGCTACATAGTACCTTCTTGACATTTTTTTCAGTATTCTTTTTACAGGACACCACATCGGGTGACGTGGTGATTTCGGATATTGAGAACTGCATTTCCATCAAAGGGAAGGTACTTTTTTGTTTTGGCTTTCTTACTGTTTAGAACTTACTCGTTGTTGATGATCTCGTAGATACGGGGAAGTCTATGATGAAGTTGATTGAATACCTTCATGGTCTTGGAGCTGCGTCAGTCAACGTTTCTTGGTAAAGATTTCTGTTCTTTTACGTAAATATTTTCATCTATCAAAGTCTTTATGCATTGCTTCTGAGGGGAAACCTACGCTCACTAATCTACTATGCTATTTTTTTCGCAAGTGCTTGACCAAGTTATATATTGCAGTTCCGTTTTTTAATGCTGGTTATCGATTTTTTCAAGCCTCCTACTAAAACGGACTCCTCTCAGTTGCGGTTATAGGCCAGACTGTAAGTTGCCCATAATCCTAATTTTAAAATTTATTTATGAATCGCATCCACACAATTGTTAGCCTTGTTCTGTGCCTTGTGTCCGCTGCTTATTATTTCCGCCAATCTGATTGCGCTATTTTCCCACTACTACCTTCAACATTATGCAATTTCTGTAATTTCGAAAAATATTCTTATGATGACTTTCGGGCTGATATGTTTGTGAAAACGGTTCCGGGACCTTGTAAGTTTGCCGGCATACCGTATTCTTGTTTGTCTGCGACTGACGTGTCTGGCTTTTTTGCCAGTCCATGGTAGTTCCTCTGGGATATAGATTAAAGCGTCGTACCATCCCGAAATTATTTCGTACTTGGTTATGGCTTTGGATTTTTTCTCTTGTTAGGGAAACTACCTCAGAGATTAAGACTTTAAAGAGCCTGGTGAATATTAGTGATGGTTTTGACAGTTTTATATTTTCCGTTGCCACCTAGACAAATATGCAGCAGCCTTACTAACATATTACTTATTACCACACATACTGACAAATATGAACTTCTGTTAAGTCCGTGGTCGCTTCTTAAAAACTGCAGTACGAGGCCTCTTAGAGTAAAGATAAAATTTTTGAGGTTTGGAGGCTTTGGAGAAAAGGAGACATTTAAAACGTCTTGTGTTCCTACACACTATATGAGTATGTATGTACGAATAAATGGGGATAAAAGGTAATCTCGAAGGCCATATCTGCATGGTTCTTACATTTAAAAAGGCACAATACCTTGCATTTTCGAAGCAGGTGTTGCAGGACTGAAAGGATAATGGTTGCGCCAGCGTGACATCTGTTTTAGGGTGCTCTTTTCATTCTTTGTTGCTCAAGTTGTGCCATTTTAACGCTTATATTCACCTCTTCTTCATGCTTATCCATCGTGGACGAGTTTTGGACATTAACGACCATCGCCTATAGGGGCCAGTGAGGCAACTTTGAAGTCAGCTACCTTGGAGACAATAGCTAAAAACTGCAAGCCCGCAAAAAACAACACAGCAAAATAGAGTGGTTGAGGGTCTTGTCTGAGGCGGTGGAACATATTTAATTCTAAGCAAACACTAGCTTTGAAGAACGTTGAGGTCCTGGGCCGATAGAATGACCGCATGACCGGGAGGTCACGTGGCGGCTGACACACACGATGAACTTCCATCAACTAGTGTCTGCTTGCGCTGTCCTCTTATTGACGCCCTGTCCCATGGCCGTCGAATTTTGCCAAATAATAAAGTTTTTAAACGCGCCTAATAGTGTTGGATAGACGAAATAGACTGCATTCCGAGATACTATAATGTCTAATCATCAGTATTTGTCTGGTGTTGCTAGCGGTCGCTGAATGCTATCTACCTGTTTGGTTTGGCTTCCACTTCTATTTATCCACGAGGCTTTTCTCGCGGTGTCGAACTCGATTTGCTTACTGCTATGTGATTCATTCGAAAGTACTGCCTGGAGGAACTCTCGGCTTTGCCTGAATGGTCAGCAATGCGGTTTCTGGGTGTATGGCGCGATCGTTGGTTTCTCGGCCACCCGCAATTTCTGCTTCCCGGGTGTCTTTCAACGTGTCCAGGCGGGTTTATTGTGTACGAAATGATTGGTCTGGTTGGGCGCGCAATTGCGGTTATCTAATTACCTTATTTATTCCTGCTGTCTCACGCATAGACTTGCAAAATCGCATGTGTACCAATTTCGAGGGAGCAGGTTGGAAGTTAATGCTGTGAGGAGAATCAGATGTGATCACTGAGACATTAACTTTATTCGCGGACCGATCATCAGAAACAATCGCAGAAACGGGTCGTTCCTACACGGAATTGCGGTATTTGCAGGATAAAGTCGCTATGTTACCACATACCTACGACAATTAACGGCTCCCCCTACCGAGGTTAGTTGCACGCTTATGCGCTAATTGCTTGCTGGCCGGCATGCGGGTTGTGACGTGCTTAACTTTCACGACCCGTGCTGGATATGGACGTGATGATTGTTCGGCCCTCTGGCGCTGGCGTTAGAAGACGCGTTCGTCTGTGCGCTCCCCGAATGACGACTTGCATTGGTCAAACTGAGCCTCAGCACCGAGTATGGGTTGAGCGGGTCCCGAAATCGGTGAACCCACTGGTTTTCCCTTCATCTCCTCGTAGGCTGTTCCTTCAAAAATGAAGTTAGCTGCATCATGTCGGTTGCAGTGGGACGTCAAGTTTCCCGACTAAAGAAGTCCGTCGATAAGGGACCCGTATCTGCTACATGCTCTCTGATTATGTCTCTGATGACGAATCCGCGACAGATCTCGAAACGTTAGGCGAAAAAAGTATTGTCCCAGCGATCGAGTCGCCTTCTCAAGTCCGTTGATCTTAACGATAGCTGGCTCTGTTTGTTTTAGGTATCTGCAAATATTCTATGACAAAGCTTTTCCAAAAAGAAGCCTCAATAAGATATCAATCGATACATTCCAAGGTGGCAGGCATATCTTTTGTTCAATATTTTAACAACAACAATATTATTCAATGTAATGTGTTTTGCTCAAATTGACGGAGGAGCCTCTGTTGTCAACAGTGAATAGCGATGCTTTGACAGTTTTTAGTATGTTAAGGGATTTTCTTCATCTGATAAATGGTTTCGCTCCGTTAATGTGTGTACAGTACTACTTATGATCGTAAAGCGTTATTTCTGCGTAAAGTTTTCTGACGATATGATTAATTCCAAGCATGCAAGAAAGCCGAACGATTTCAAATAGGAAAGACTATATGTCATTCCTTCGGAAAGCAAATTCCCGTAATTGGATTCGCAAGTACAGATTTACGACCTTTGCCAAATGCTCCTGATCTTTATAATTTTGTTGAGCAACTGTCATTTATGTGATGTATTTTGATTAGCCTGGTAAATCTGCTTGTACACGCATTCATGAACATCAAATAGTAACAATGAAGCAAGGCCAGTTGTCTCAAATAGCCAACATCTTAGGAAATGGCCTGAGTTTGCGTGCATTCGGAATACACTAAAGCAGGGTCATCTAGAAACCATTTTTCGCACCGACGGCCTCTCTATAGGAGCGATTACCTTTTTTCTGGGGGAATTTTGAATGCCTTCTATGGGCCTTGATACCGTCTCCTTTCTCTTCCCTATCCTCATCTTTGTTTTTTCCACCTAGTTCTGGGATTCGAAGTTCCGGATCGTTTTATTGTGGGCTACGCCATTGATTACAACGAATGTTTTCGGGATCTTTTGGTAACTTCTTGAATTATTTCTTTCATTTTTACTGCAACTATCAAAAAGCGCCAGTTGCTCATGACTTTTAGCTTCTTTTATTCCAACCGTTGGTTGTAAGCCCTCCAAGCGCCCGAACGTACATCCCCCCTTGCTTATACGTTAAATTAGCTTTCATTAGGAAGGTCCCACCACCCAAAGCAAGGCAAACAGATGTGACCACTTTTAGTTTAATTTTCGATAGCAGCCTGTCTTGCCTTTGGCGGTAGCATCTCGTGACTGTTAATTGTCTCCCACTATACAACCACCGGCGTTGATTCTACGCCCGAAACTCCGAGGAATGGGTCGGTTCTCCTAGTCCTCGGTAGCACAAGAGGCACGCTTCCCCTATTACGGAGATCTGCGTGGGTTGGCTACGGGTGGCTTATTACGGCTAATGAGCCGGAAAATGGTCCTTTCCTCTTCCATTGTATATGTCAGTAATTTCTTTCTGTTTATAGTTTGCTAGCCGCTGAGCGGCTGCTGGCGGGAAGACAACGGGACGAGTGAGTCCCCTGTGCGCTCGGTGAACGCCCTTCTACCATTGTTGTCCGCCGATACTGTAGCAAGCCTGCAGTTAGTCTAGAGACAGAAAACGGCACTACGTTGCGATATAAGGTCTTAGTAGAAACTTGAGCCATTATTTAATAACGTTTCTTTGATCCATAAGCTTATCATTATTCACCCTCATACAGCTTAGGACTGTATGCTGGGTGCCGACTTCCTGCAAGCACACACAAATCGTATTATAGCATACTATTTACTGGTCTTAGGAAGAATACTCGCTAGAATTAGCAGTCTTAGTGTTAGCACATTACTTCTGGCAGCAGTATCCTAGTCCTCATAGTCCAACCTTAGTATAAACTGACACCATCTGGTGGATAGAATTGAGTTGGCGGAAAACAAGGCAACCCTGTTGTGCTCTGGGCCTCAAACTCGGGTTAGCATGAGCCGAGGTCCATATTCCTTGTTGAGATTGAGGGGATATGAGCCCATCGCGGGCTTTAACCGGCGCGACTTATGACTAATATTAGCGTCAGTAATAGTACCAGTGCTACTATCACTCAGCTACATTGTTAGTTAGTAGTAGTAGCAAAAATATTAGTACCAGTCTCGGCCTCCTTGTGTCTGTCTTGAGTAAGGGCAGCTAGTGCGGTAGTTCCAGCGCAAAGGTCTACCGTCACTTACGACTAAGTTAGGCGGTGTTCTGACCTGCATTGGGAAAGCAACCCACGTCTTATCCCGTTCGGTCATCTCGACTCTGTCTTGTCATCGCTACCAGCGGGTTGAGGGTTCAGAGTGCAGGAGACGGCTGTGTGTCTATTTCACTTAAATCGAATCCCCGACTACAGTCACTCTCCCTGTTCCTGAGCACATAATCGAAATTGATGGTCGAACTATCATCAATCACCATTGTTGGTTTTCCCTATATTAACTAGCAACACAACGAGCCCGTGGCTCAGCGTTGGACTTCCAACTCACAGGTCACTGCTTCGAGCCTCGGGGTGTCACAACACCTAGGATTAAAGTATTAGCAGCTGCTGATTACTTGTAAGCCAGAACTGGCCAGTCCGGTGTCCGTGTTCTTTTTCGGTAATGCATTTCTGCCTGTTTTCTGTTCCCTTTCAGCACATTTGCTCCATTAACGAGATGGCCAAAAAGGTGTTCGCAATGAGCAAACACACCGAGTTGGGCTATCTGCCGCCTGTTGACAGTTAGCAAGACTCGCGCATCCCCCTACCCCGTCGCCGACGTCGTCCTCCCATCCCGTCTTTCTGTCCGGACAAACCTAACACACCCCGTAGCAGTGTTTACTGACTGGCTTATATGTGTCTATTCATGTATGGCATATTGCCTGAAATACTATTAAATATGATTTGGACACTTGGATTCTCATTTGTTTTCTGCATTCCCATTTCTCCAAAACAAAATCCGTCCCTGTTGTTTTTGCATTTATATGTTCTGTCCAACAAACTGATAACTTCGACATTTTCTCTGTTTGTGTATTTTCAGCGATGATACCCATTTAAGCATTCAAGAAGTCAAGATAGGCGAA